GAATAGACTCTAAGGGTATGTAAAGTTGGCAGTAAAGTTGGCAAAGGATAGAGCAGGATTTCAGGGCTGTTGTACATAGGGTAGCTTTGAGTCACAAGTGACTCCATGGCACATAACAACAATAACTTTGGAGGGACTGGAGAACATTATGATAAGTGAACTAATTCAGTCCCATAGGGCAAATAGTGTACAAAACCATTATTGTAGAATTTGTATGAGGATCCAAGGAGATGAGGGTAGGAGCAGAGTGGTGAGGATGCATGTGGGTTGTGGGATGGCTATTCATAGGGTCATAGATTTTGATGTGTGGAGGGAGTGGTAGGTAGAGGAAATGGGAAAAATCCAGTGTGTAAACAATGTATATGAACTTTTGAAAGTAAACCAGTATAAAATAAAAACTAAATTTTTAAAAAAGTGAACATACAATTTCCATAGACCCAGCTATTCCACTGCTTGGAATATACCCTGAGAAAATGAAAACTGAGGCACAGAGACTTGTACACCAATGTTCATAGCAGCATTATTCACCATAGCAAGAACATGGAAATAGCTCAAATGCCCAAACACAATGGAATGGATTGAGAAATTATGGTACATTCATATGATTGAATACTATGCAGCATGCAGGAGCAATAATTTTGTAAATTATTACCTAACTTGCGAGGAGGTTGAAGGCATTATGTTACATGAACTAACTTAGTCCCATAAGGACAAATACTGTATAAACCACTATTGTAGAACAGGTATGAGGATCCAAGGAGGGGATGGAGGGAGGATAGTTGTGAGGTTGGGGGAGTTGGTAATCATAGGATCACACAATTTGATGGGTGGAAGGAGGGGTGGGTAAAGAAAATTATAATGAGCTGGTGTGAAAAACAATATATGTGAGCTTTATAAGTAAACCAGTATAAAATAAAATTTTATTTTAAAATTTTAAAAAAGAAGATGCACTTCTAAACTCTCATGGAAGAGAGATGAGACAGAAGACAGGTTGAGCCCAGGAGCAGAGTCAAGATGAGATGAAGGGCAGCCCTGAAGGACAGCCATTTGTACAGTGACTTGGAGGAAATGAGGGTTCAACAAATGCTTCCACTACAAAAATAAAAATAAAATAAAACCCAAAAACAGCCCACATACAGCCCTCTTATTTATTCTCAGAATATTCTAGAACATGTCAGAGACACTATTAACTTGAAATCTTGAACTGGAATATTCTTCAAAATAAAACTTTTTTAAATGCATGGGTGATATTCCATCAATTCCTGAGGCTTTATTTTTTGCCAAATCCTACAAAGCAGCCTGCCTTACCTCCTTTATCAACATTGTCTCTTGATCATATATTGTTTCTTGAAAATTTTCTGGTGCTGAGCACCTTGAAAATCCCCCTCCTGGCTTTGGGGAACAAAGAACAAGGCTGAACCCTTTGAGGACTACCTGAAAATGTGCAGTAAGGAGAGAATGGAACTTTCATGTGATGGAGGCATCTCAGTAACCTCTGTGACAGAACTTTTACATTTTTTGTATTCCAAGCATTTTTCAGTCAGTGTTTATCCAAACATCCATCTGTGGGACAAATATGAATGAAGGACCCATTGTGTCCTGGGTGCTGGTGAAGAGGAACATTCACAATAACTGCTGCTCAAAGCAGAGCAGAGGTCCTAAGAGCTCCATTTCTGGCTTTGTTACACAAGACTGCCAGGGAAGACTCCATGTAGATGAAGCCCATGAAACCAGATTTTGAGGAAGAGCTCACTCTTGAGGTGGGACTGGAATGCAGAATAAGTAGCAACAGGAAAATGGATGTGGCTGGAAAGAAGAGGGACCAAGATGGCCTCTCATAGCACAGCTTCCACTTGAGAATGAACTTGAAAGATGCACCTCAGAAAATGGTTGGAATTGTACTAAGCGTTGTATACTAGGCTGAGGGACTTGACTTTCACCCTGGGAGCAACTGAGGACACAGCAGAGGAGTGGTAGCACCCACTTTGCATCTGTCCACAGAGAGCAGAGAAAATGATAAGGAAGATTCAAAAGGTAGCAAGGATGAAGGATTTCGGAAATTATCAGGACTTAGAAGGCCCATTAGACTTTTGGCATTTCCTCTGGAGGCAGCACCAGCCTTTCCCTATTTGGATTCATCTTCTGCCCCCACACTCATCATTTAAAGGTGTCCCTGAGATTGATGGAGCTTGTCTGCTAACCTAAAGATTAGAGATTCAAGTCAACTCTGATGCATCTTGGCAGAAAAGCATAGCAATCCTAAAGGTCAGCCATTAAAAACTTATATATATGGAAAAGAGATGGTAAAACTGTCACTATATGCAGGTAATATGATAGTGTACACAGAAAACCCCAAGGACTAAACAAACAAACAAACAAACAAAAAACCAACAAAACCAAAACCAAAACAAAACCAAAAAACCCCCACAAAACCACAAACTGTTAAAGCTAGTAGACCCATGTAGAGGAGTGGCAGGATACAAGCTCAATATGCAAGTTAGTGAGATTCCTCTACAGTAACAAAGAGAACTCAGAGAAGGAAACCAAGAAAGCAATACCATTTATAAAACCACAAATTGAGATAATTTGGAATGAACCTAACTAGAGACACAAAAGACTAGTACAAAGAAAGCTACAGGACATTTCTGCAAGACACAATAAAAGACCTAAATAAATGAAAAAATATTCCCTGATCATGAGTAGGAATACTCAATTATAATCTTATAAAAAATTATAACCTTACCAAAAGCAAGTTACATGTTTAATGCACTCTCAATACACATACCAACTTAATTTTTCAAAGAAAAAGTGATTGTCAAGTTTATCTGGAGAGGAAAGATCCCTTGAATAAGCAAAGCACTTCTGAAAAATAAGAAGGAAGTGGGAAGTATAGCATTTCATTCTCTCAAAACACATTACAACTCTATAATAACGAAAACAGCATGGTACTGGTACAATGATAGGCTTATAGATCAGTAGAATAGACTCAAGAACACAGAAATTAACCCACCTATTTATATTCAACTGATATTCAACAAGGAAACAAAAGCTATCAAATGGGAAAATGACAACCTCTTCAATAAATGGTGCTGGAAGCTGAAGCAGAATGCACACCTCTCACCATATATAAAAATCAACTTAAGGTCAATCAGAGACCTAGGAGTAACGCCCAAAACTATAAAGATCATAGGAAACAAAGCAGGATCAAACTCAGAAGGCTTAGCTCATGGTATGAAAAGATTGACAAATACAGTCAGAAATACACAACCAGTAGAAGATAAAATTGAAGAATGGGACCGTCTAAAGATTAAATCCCTGTGTGTATCAAAAACATTTTCCAACAAAGTGAAAAGAAAACCTACTGATTGGGAAAATACATTTGGCAATATAATTTCAGACAAGGATCTCCTATCAAAAATTTACAGAATCCTACAAGGCTCCAAAAGAAAAAGACTGATAACCCAGTCATAAAGTGGGGAAAAGACATGGAATGACCTTTCACAGAGGAAGATATTCAGATGGCCAATAGACACATGAAGAAATGTTCAAAATTATTGGCAATAAGAGAGATGCAAATCAAGATCACAATGAGATAAAATATCACACCAGTAGCAATAGTAAAATTTAACAGGACAATAAGTAATAATTGTTAGAGAGGATGTGGAGAGATAGGAACTCTTGGGATTGAAAAATGGTACAATTCACTCTGGAAAGCAGATTGGTGTTTCCCCAAAAAGCTGAACATAGAAATTCCTTATGACCCAGCTATTCTACTGCTTGGAATATACCCTGCAAAAATTAGAACTGAGACACAAATGGAGATCTGTATACCAATATTCATAGCAGTGTTGTTCACCATGAGTAGAACTTGGAAACAGCCCATATGCCCAACCACAATTGAATGGATTAAAAAATGGTACATCCACATGATGGAATACTATGCAGCATGCAGGAGCAACAATTCTGAAAATCACTACCTAACTCAGATGGACTGGAGAGCATTATGCTAAGTGAACTGACTTAGTCCCATAAGGACCAACACTATATAGGAACATGATTGTAGAAATAGATAATTAATAAAACATGTATGAGAATACAAGGGGGTGGAAGGTTAGGAGCAGAGGGGTAAGAATGGGTAGTGAGGTAATCATAGGATTGCACAATTTGTTAAGTAGAGGGAGGGGTGGGTTAAAGAAACTGGAAAAATGTGGTGCGAAAAACGATGTATACGAACTTTGAAAGTAAACCAGTATAAAATAAAAATTTTCTTTAAAAAATATCATTATTGTAAAAATAGAAAGATAACTAGTAAATGTGTATGAGGGTCCAAGGAGTGGGGAGGATAGGAGCAGATGGGTGAGGATGGGCAGGGGAGAAATCATCATAGAGTCACACAATTTGATGGGTGGAGAAGGGGTGGGTAAAGGAAATGGGAAAGATCTGGTATGAAAATCAATGTATACAAACTTTCTAAGCAAACCAGTTGTGTTGTGTATTGTCGAGTTGGAACTGACCCGTAGCTGACCCTCCTACAGGTTTTCAGAGGCAGGTTAATCACAAGGAAGGTGACTGCCCAACCTTCTCTCATGGAGCGGCTGGTGACCTTGAACCTCATACATTCAGGATTGCTGTGCAGCTTCTTGCCACTAGGCCACTGGAGTTCCAATATAAAATAAAAATTTATTTTTTAAAAAACCAACAAACTTATTTATCTACTGTCATATATATAGAGACATCATGAGTCAAAGTTTACTTGAAGCAACTGATACTAATCTATTTAACTGAAGCTTACAGGTGAAAATAATCTAAAATGACAGAAGACACATTGCCATCTTATATTATTCATCATTCACAAATTGACAATCTTTGAGATTGAGTACCTGGGTCTGGGTCATAGTTAGCAAGGCTGAAGATGGCTGATGTTGCTTCTGCCAAGCAAGCCACATGGAAGAACACAAAGACCATGCTAAGAGTCAGTGAGGGAGGCCTTTGTCTGCACCATGTCCATAGAGGTATGCTGAGTTCAAGACATCGCAAGTAAGAATGAGAGCTACGATCTTTAAAGATTTGTATCAACTGGTGCAAGTGTCTGTTCCAATGTCCCACCATTCATCTGTCAGTTGGTTCTACTCTGGAAGCTTTCATATTGTTATAATGCTGAAAGCTATGTATCACTAGCTGGACCAGGCATGATGTACACATTTCAGCAGTAGTTTTAAACTAAGACAAATTAAAAAGAAATGTCTAATGATCTGTTTCTGAAAATTAACCAATGAAAACCCATTCCTTGATCTCAATGGAATATTGTCTGTAGATTGTTGGAAGATGTGCCTCCTAGTTTGGAAAGCATATAGTAGCTATGGCAATGAATTGAAACATTCCTATCAATGATCATAAAGACAGTGGAGCAATGGGCAAAATTCCATTTTGTTGCACATTAGGTCATCACAAATAGGAGCTGATGTGAGAGCAACTAATTACTTGTTTGCATCAGAGAGTTGGACAATGACCAGGGAGGATAGAAGTAGAATTGACCCCTTTGAATTATGGTGTTGGAAAAGAGTGTTGAATAACCCATGGATTGACAAAAACTGAACAAGTATGTCTTAGAAAAGGTGCAGAATTGGAGGCAAGAATGACAAAGGTTTGTGTCTCACACTTTGGACATGTTGCTAGGAGAGGCTATTCCTTGGAAAAGGACATCATGCTTGGAACGGTGGAGGGTCAGCAAAAGAGAGGAAGACCTCCATCAAGAAGGATTGACATGGTGACTGCAGCAATAGGCTCAAGTGTATCAGAGATAGTGAGGATGGCACAGGATAGGACCAACTTCAGGTCTCTTGTTCATAGGGTGGTACTTGACTCGATGGCACCTAACAACAATAACTTCAATGTTATGGTCAAATTTCCTATTAATGATAAAGTCATTTTATAAACATAAAATGGTGAACTCTGGTAATAGCTTGGGAATAAATCTGTCTAATTTCACTTCTTTCTCTTTCAGGGTCAGAAAACTTGGATAGAGAAAACATTCTGCAAACGGGAATGTATCTATGTAATTCCTAGCACTAAAGACCCAAATAGGTAAATTAGATGCTATAATTAAGACATTATTAAGACAAACTTTTGTCTACCAGTTATCCAACAATTTTTCAAGTGTTTCTGGAAAGGGGTAGAAGAGTCAAGAAGGGTTAATAAGCTCCTCTATCAAAATACACACACATCCTTGGCAGAGAATTGCTACTAGCCTTTAAGCGATCTCTCAGGACCAGGGGGACCTACAGCTTCCTTAGTCCTACATGAGATCAAGACAAGGGATGTTAGAGATGCCTGGGGGTCTTCTGGGTCTCTGCAGCTGGGTTTTATAATGTGTTTAGAGGAGAACTTCCATCATAGCAACAGCTGAGAAGCTAAGTGAACTAAATAGAACCTTAACATTAAAAAGATTGATCTGTACATAGCATGTTAGACAATTTCATCCACTAATATTTATTATAAACCGAACAGTAGGTCTGCAAAAGCCTTCCCAACACAAATTGAGTTGAAGCTTGCTCCCTCTGAGAGCACAGGTGATGAGGCTGGGTTGGAGGAGGTGATTATTCACACTTCCACACAATGTCAATCTGCTCAGGTGAGATCATGAGACTCCTAGAGATTACCAGGTGTCAGTATTTAAGGCACACTCCATCACAGCCACCATATCTGCACCGCTCTCCTTTCTCACCACCCCAAAATTCCTTTGCCCTCTCTTGGTGCCAGTGATTGTGCTCAAAGGAAAGATGTGCCAGATGGAGTAATTCTGATGGTAACAAAAATCTCCCTTATCTCAGAAGCATCCAGAACCATGTTATATCATTGCTTTATGTGTCTATGTCACAGCCTGCCAGCATTATAGTCATTTATTCATCCATGTGACAATCCCATAGAGGAAGCAGAAAGGGTATCAGGGGCTCACACTTTTCTGCCAGCTCCATGGATTCTCTAGCCTTGACCAGAAAACATGTGCCACCAAGAAAATAGCATAGAAATTAAGGCAGAAAGTCACAAGCTGACCTCAGGTGAGTCACACGTGGCAAGGACAACCACTCACATATCCCACCTAGTTCAGAAAAGATGCTGTTCTACTTTCCAAGTAGACCCTGTCTCCAGTGTTTTACCACAACCATCAGCCAGGTCCTTTGCACCACTAAGTGGTGTGGGATGATGGCCTTTGACAGTCCCTCAGTTATAGAAGTGAGCTCCAACTTGCTCCTGGCAGCTCCTCATGCACTTTCCCCAGGTTCCTTCTGCACCAAGACCTCCCACCCCAGGCTGTTTCTCTCAACTGACCTCTCAGACATTAGGAGATTGCAGCCCACTCCAATAGTGGGCTGCCTAAAATGACTGCTGACAACAAACTCCTTTCCTTGCTAGGAAAGGACATTAGCATAAGGCCAAGAACCACACTCAGAGAAGACTGAAAAGAGAGCCAGAGCAGAAAAGACTGGCTCAGTCATGAAAAGAACAGGGACTGTGATGAGTTATGGGGAGAAAAAGAAACAACTGATACTTTTTAACGTCTACCTTCAATATTATAGTGTAGAGAAAATGTCTCTAAAGCAAAGGAAAAATTTAAATATCAGAAAGTCTTTTTAATGAACAACTCAACTGCTCTAAGGGGATAATATTTACTTTTCACAGTATTTTCACAATTAATGTCCATATTAATTTTTGTCAAGACATAAAAATAACTAAAATGTTTGGGAATAAAAAAAAAGGCATCCAATGAATTTAGAACAGACTGGCATTTAGACAACTATCATTGATAATCTGACCTTTTTTCATTCATAGTAAAGCTGGATGGCTGAGGGGTTAGTAGGTCCATTTCTCATGTTCTCAGCTACTCAAGCTGACTCAGCTAACTGGGAAAGGAAAGCAGATGTTGCACAAAGACCACCTTTTGAAAAAAAAAAAAAAAAAGACCACCTTTTGCCTGTGTTTTCAGGTGTTGTTGTGGCCAGCTCACCAACCTACATATTCCTCCTCTGCCAAGCTTAACACCTAGCAAAAATGGAGAGGAAAACAAACAAGTGGAGATACAACCTGAAAAATGGTCTGTCAGCAAGCATACCCAGAGCTACCCCACTGACTCATATGGGACTCTGGAATTCCAAGGTGGTGGATACTCCAACAAAGCCATGGTAAGAAGAACATAAAAAGCAGAAGACAGCTGAGACCACAGCCTTTATCAGAGACCAGCCTTCCACTTCCACAGGCCATGGGCACCTAAGTCTTCTTCCAGGTTGCATGATCCACACTTTCTAGATATCTCATTGCAAAGCCAAAAGCCTGCACATACAACCTTCTATCCATGAGATGTGAAAACTGAACATTGTAAAGAGCATGCCCTATCCTTTAAATCCATACCAAAGCTCTGAACCCACAAACCATACTGTAATCTTGCTCTGCAATTATGTGCCAGAGAGCATGACTGGGGTATTTTTTATAATGTATAGACTTCTAAACCTTAGTTATGTAGGGAGTCTTTGGTGGGATTTCCCTCTGATATATGTCCACAAACTTTCTAAGCAGAGGTCTTCCGTATTTGCACATAAACAGACAATGCCTTCTGACTTTTGAGGAGTCGTACCAAACAAGGTGGCCTAGTAGTAAGAAGCTGCACTGCAATCCCGAAGGCATGCAGTTCGAATCCACCAGCTGCTCTGTGGGAGAAAGATGGTGTAATCTCCTCCCATGTAATTAACTGCCTCTGAAAACCCACTAGAAAGTCAGCTATCTATTCCAGCTCAACAGTACACAACAACAACAACAATAACCAAACAAGGATAGGGAGTTTTGGTGGCCTAGTGGTAAGAAGCTGCACTTCCACCCCAAAGGTATGCAGTCAAACCCACCAATTGCTCTGCAGAAGAGTGGTGGGCAATCTTCCGTCTAATTCTCTGCCTCTGAAAACCCACCAGAAGGTCATCTATGGCTCGGTTCTGATTCAATGATGCATAACACAATAACGGAGGCACTAAGGGTCCTTTCAACTAACTCTGAATAGTTCTTCCAAGGGCCCAGCAACCTATGGTAGAAATTTAATTTTATTCCATGATACCAACATACTTTTCCAAGTGAAATCCAGTTTTGTTCGATATACTACAATGTGGAATTTTCTGAAATAACACCCTACATGTTGTCATGAACAAGTAGAAGAGATCCTAACTAGGGGTCAAGTCACAATACCATAAATGTCTTCATCTCCTTAAGCAGAAAACTAAGAACAGTTCTGGTCTGCTATTCCAGGTCCAATCACTCACCCGATTTAGAGAGTGAGCCACTGACTCAACAATAACTTTGTCCAATTTCTTGAAACATGGTTTTTGCTGAAGTAGCTTTTGAATTTATCTTCCCAAGGTTGTTATATACTGTCAAGTCAGAACCAACCCACAGCGGAGCCTCCAGCAAGTTTTCAGAGGCAGTTAATCCCACAGGAGGAGATTCCCAACCTTCTCCCATGGAGAAGCTGATGAATTCAAGTCTCCTGCCTTTGGTATTGTAGAACAGCTTCTTACCACTAGGCCACCAGAGTTAGGGTTGATATGTAAAATACAAGACACTTTAATTTCAAAAAAATAATTTTTTACTATAGAGCTAAGACTGTGGGTATCTTAGTCTTCTTTCAGTGCCATGGATCTGTGTTATTAGGTATTTTCTTGCCAAGCCAAGAGTTGCATTCTTATGTCACAAATATTTCATGGGACATAGTCAAACTTTTTTTTTTCCTGAAAGTCAAATGTAGCTGGGTGCCCTGCATTTACTAAAATCTGCCAACCTGGGCAAAGTGCTCTTCATTCCATTTTCCATACAGTTCTTGGTAGAACATTAGATATTACTTGCCCATTTAATATAAGAAGCAAACCATGGATTGGCATTAAATCACAAACTATTTTGCAGTATATCAGAGTATCCTATGACACCAAGTCAGACTCTCTGCTTCATCTCATGGTGAAAGACTGGCAGTTGGAGCTCCCCAAGCTTTTGATATCTGTGCATGGAGGCCTCCAGAATTTTGAGATGCAGACCAAACTGAAGCAGGTCTTTGGGAAGGGCCTCATCAAGGCCGCTATGACCACTGGGGCCTGGATTTTCACCGGAGGAGTCAGCACTGGTAAGAACAGATTTTCCCTTTATGTAAAATACACACTCAGTTCACTTTGGGTCCCAAAGAGCATCCTGATAATTAAGATCAAACACTAAAACCAATGCATTTAATAATGTTTATGACAAAAATCACATTTTTTTTTCAGTAGCATGGTTTTTTCTTCTAGTATGATTTCTATTTTCAAACAACAGGTATAATAATGATAATGGTAAATATTTCTGGCATAGTCCCCAGGTGCCATTCCCTGAAATGCAACTTCAACAAGCATTTCCTTTACTAAGCCTCTTAATAAAACTTATATCGTTTATGAGAGAGGAAATTGAGGCACAGAGAAGTTAAATAATATCACAGGCTGTCACTATTAGCTGAATACAGTGAAAGGTCAGAGGGATGTCTACTTCTTTACCTTGGAAATTACCAATGATTGTTTTGGGTTTTGTTGTGGTTTCCCCTTTTCTAGAAACTAATGTAGTAACACTGCTTGCCATGAATTCAGATTTTCAAGTTCTTTCTTTTATAGATGAAGATCATTAGATCTCAACCCTGTGCCCTAGGGATGGCAGGGTTTCAAAGGTGTCTCCAGGATCCATGAATGGTGGTATGATGCACACTAGAAGAACCTAAACATATGACTTACAACCTTTGACAGGTGTCATCAGCCATGTAGGGGATGCCTTGAAAGATCACTCCTCCAAATCCAGGGGACGAGTCTGCGCTATCGGAATTGCTCCATGGGGCATCGTGGAGAACAAGGAAGACTTAGTTGGAAAGGATGTAAGTGTTTTCTCTCCAGATCATTTTGCAAAAGACATTTTACTATCCCTGGGACATTGGCAGTGATACTGTCAAGATACAGAACATTTCCATTACTCCAAATTTCCATTTTAGATAGTCTCATCCACTTCCTTACACCCTTATTCAGACTCTCTGGAATCCAGTATACCTGCTCTCCATTTTGAGAGTTTTCCCTTTCAAGAATAGTATGATGAAAGACTGAATGAAAAAATTATTTACTTTGTGACTTTCACTGAAACCATAGTAAAAAAAAAGGAAAATATTATTATGTAAATGAATCAAGTAGTCTGTAACTGTCAAACATTCAGAAAAGAACTTGTAACATTCCTGAGGCTTGTCTCCTGAGACACTTCTGGGTGGAGTCAAACTGTTAACTGTTTGACTACTAGTTGAACCCTTAACAGTTTATAAACCAGATAGCAATTACAATATAATATTTACATAATCTTTGGAAACTGGCTTTTTCACCCCACATAATTCTCTGAAGATTCATATAGGTTGTTGTATGTATTAACTGTTTGTTAATTTTTTTTAATTGCTATTTAATGAAAGTTTATAGAGAACTTGGATTTCCATTCATTTATTGTTGCACATTTTCCTCCCTGACCTCGCCCCCAGTTCACTTTTCTCTTTGGGCAAAAAAAATTTCTTTCATTCTTATACAGTCCCCCACTCGCACCCCAGTCCACTTTACTATGCAGCTCTTATTCTGGACTCTTGTCATGCCAATAATACCTAATCATATATTCGTTTTATACAGTTATCTCTCTTGTCTGTTTCAATGCCATGTACATTATTTATCCCCTTTTTTCTTAGTTTCTCCCAACTTCCATGTCATTCCTGTTTTATAACAGTGGCATTATACAGTATTTGTCCTTTTGTGACTGAGATATTTCACTCAGCATAATGTCCTCCAGGATCACCCATTTTGTATAATATTTCATGAGTTATTTGTTTTTCAGTGCTGCATAATATTCCATTGTTGGATTATGCCTCAGCTTCTCTATCCATTCATTTGTTTTCTTTCATGCTTTGAATGTATCACCATTTGATTGACTATTATTTTACTCTAACAGTAAGAACTCTATTTTCACTAGGTAGAGTTATGAGACGAGATTGAAGTGCACACTTAGATGAGACCAACCACATGAATATACATATTCTGCTTGCTTCCTTTGTTAGTTCTAACATTGACTGCCCTGATTTGTGTGATTCATGCTTGTCAGGTCAACAGAGTGTACCAGACCATGTCCAACCCTCTAAGTAAACTCTCTGTGCTCAACAACTCACACACTCACTTCATCCTGGCCGACAACGGCACCTTGGGCAAATACGGTGCTGAGGTGAAGCTACGTAGACAACTAGAAAAGCACATCTCACTTCAGAAGATCAACACAAGTAAGTTTCTGGGTAACGTCATAGGTACTGCCATTGATCCAGTTCCACAGCCATGAAACCCCAGAGAAAGAAACTGTCTAAGGGCTTGCTACTTGCCTACCCCTAACTCCCGGTGTTTAAAGCTTTAATCTTGATTCTCTCTAAATCCACAAACCTCATCCACTGAGTTATGTTTTATGCTCCAATTTTATAAAGAGTGCTGACACAAGAAACAATTCTGCAGTTGTTGCCATGAGGTGGCATTAATTCTTATTACATTAATTATTACATTAATTCTTACTCCCTGCAATTATTGTGGGTGTTTTAAAAAATATTTTCACAGAAAAAAAAATCACACTAAAAGGTTTAGTAAGATTCTATGGGTTTGGGGATATTATGTGACCATTAACTATCTCTGTAACTCATCTACACAGGTTTGATGGGAGACCCTGAGCTGAATGGGGTAGCTCAGGACAGAGTGACCACAGGGAAATACTGAAATTGAACTAGAGATGAAGAAACGAATAGCAGCCAGTGATAGGATAAATAAATAAATAGCAGAACTGGTAGAATAAAAAGAATTAGTTTAATTTCTTGAAACATGTTCATTCATATTTTAATAATTATTTTTATCAGATATTTGTTAAATGATATTAAAGAGTATTTTGTTTTTATCATTATTAACTTATATATTACATTATTACCTTTCTGTAAAGGACACTCTAGGAAGGCCTATAAAATCCATTGTTATAAATTATTTGGCATTGGTGATTCAATGGCAGAATACATACTGCTCATCTGCCAGTGGAGGTTTATAAGCCACTGTGATGTTGAACTGATTTCAAATGTCTTCCAGACTAAGACAGACTAGAAGGAAATATCTGATGATCACCTTTTTAAAATTAGCCCATGAAAACTCATAGGATCAGGATCAATTCATAGCTGATCACAGAATAACACAGGAAAGGGAATATTTTGTCCCACTGTTCATGTTTTCACCATGAGTGATCATGGCCAACTCAATGGCATTCCGTAACAGCATAATTATATATACATTGTTGTTGTTATGTGCCGTCGAGTCGTTTCCGACTCATAACGACCCTATGCACAACAGCCCTAAACCCTGCTCTATCCTGCGCCAACCGCACCGCCTCTGACACACCCATCCCGATTACCCCAGTCACCGAATCAATCCATCTCATAGAGGGTCTTCCCCTCCTGCGCTGTCCCTCCACCCTCCCAAGCATGATGTCCCTCTCCAAGGACCCGTCCCTCCTGGCAACATGTCCAAAGTATGTCAGATGAAGCCCCAGAATCCTTGCCTCCAAGGAGTAGCTTGGTTTAATCCTCTCCAAGATGAATCTGTTTGTTTTCCTGGAAGTCCATGGTACATTCAGTACCCTTCTCCAGCACCACAGCTCAAAAGCATCCACTCTCCTGTCCTCCCTAGTCATTGTCCAACTCTCTGATGCATAACAAGCGATTGCAAATACCATGGCCTGTATCAGGCGCACCTTAGTCTCCAGAGAGACACTCTTGCTCCTGAGTACCTTGGAGAGGTCCCTAACAGCAGACTTTCCCATCGCGATACGCTTTTTGATTTCCTGACTGCTGGTGCCAAGAGTGTTGACTGTGGAGCCGAGCAAACTGAACCTGTGAACACTCTCAATCTCTTCGTCATCCATCCTGATGCTGCCAATTGGTCCAGTGGCGAGAATCTTTGCCTTCTTGATATTGAGCCTTAGTCCATACTGAAGGCTGCAGTCCTTGACCCTTCACAGCAAGTGCATGAGGTCCTCCTCAGTTTCAGCAAGCAGGGTTGTGTCATCTGCTGATTTTGTATCACATACAAGTAGATAAAATAAGGATAGAAGTTATGTTGCAATCCCAAAGGCACAATGGTTGAAGTCATCAGCTGCTCCTCAGGAGAAAGATGGGCAATCTCCTCCCATGTGATTTACTGCCTCTAAAAATCCCTGGAGCATCAGCAGTGGGGTTGATTTAAAACTCAATTGCACACAAAAAGAACAACTACTACAAGCTACAAATTTCCAAGAATTAGAACTTGATTGATAAATTGGCTGAGGATGGAAGGTTTTGTCCCCATCTTTTCATTGTTCTGGGCTTGTGAGCTTTCACACTGCCTAGCTTCTCCTGGCCATGTGACCTGTGTGCTTCCCTTTGTCATCCTTTGCCTAGGGTTCTGAGTGGGGCAGGGAGAGCAAAGGGTTGCTCAATTGTCACTTCCCACGGCATGGAGCTTCAGGGAGTACACCTAAGCCAAGAAGACCAGTTCTGCTCTTTCTAGTAAAGAAAGAAGCTTGGCCACCATATTCTCGAAGATCTTAATATTAAGCTTGGGGTGGGCTGGAACTCTGAATGCAAGTCCATCTAATCTTATCCCTGTTCTTACTGTGCCCCCTGGTCAAGGTCTGGAAGAAAGCATATTTGCCAAATGAGCTGAACTGGTGTTATCTGGGAGGAGACAATAAAGTCTGCAGAAATATTTAAAAGTCTTTGGCTCCAGAAACATCAATGAACTGAACCAGAAACTCTAAATTCACTTTAAATTCTCAAATCTTCTTATAACTTGTGCTAGCATATTTTATCTGAAGATCCTGTTCAGAATTTTGAGACTAAGGTTACTTCTTCTATCTATCATTTGTTAATGTTGGACTAGCTAACTTTCAAATTATAGGCATCTGGATGACCTGTGTTGGCACAGTTGGGACAAAATTTTGGAGGAGATTTCCCTTTGCTTCTTTTCTACTTGCAAGATTTTCACCTTTTCTTCTCTTTAATCCTAGGCTCTAGAATACCTTTATTGCCTCCTGTTTTTCAGAACCCACCTTCTGGCTTTGCCATCTAAAGTTAACTTGTTTCTTGAAGCAGCCATTTATGTGACAGACACAGAGGGCAAACTCTAGAAACAAATTATTAACTAATAAACCAATAAAGGTTTTGCCTAATTTCAAACACTGGAATCAGAAGTAGCAAAACAAGCAATGTGACATAGGGAACTCTGGTAGCCTGGTGGTAAGAAGCTGTGCTGCAATCCCAAAGGCACTCAGTTCATATCTACCATGTTTTCCACAGGAGGATTGGCAATCTCCTCCTCCCATGCGATTAACTGCTTCTGAAAACCTGCTGGAGTGTCAGCTATGAGTGAGGTCTGACTTGATTGTACACAAAAACAACAACAACAATGTGCACCAGTTTCAAGATATTCTTGTGGTACTAACCAAAAAGTCAGAGATTTGAATTCACCAGCTACTTCATGACAAAGAGGTAGATGGCCTCTTCCAAGAAAGATTTGTATCTAGAGAAACTTGATAAAGACTTGTCAAAAGCTGTAACATATATGAAAGCAGTTAAGGAGCCTTGTGGCTGCAAATAGAAAAGTCAGCAGTTCAAATCCACTAACAGTCTACAAGAGGAAGATGAGACATAAATCTCTGGTAAAAATTTACAGCCTTAAAATGCATGACAGACACATAGATCAATGGAATAGAATTGAGAATCCAGAAATCAGCCCATCTACCTATGGTCAACTGATTTTTGACAAGGAGATGAAATCAGTTAAGTGGGGAAATGACAGCCTTTTTAACAAATGGTGCTGGCAAAATTGGAAA